ACGTTATCGACAATGTTAATTTTCTTCATCTGGTTTAGAATTTTCCGGAGTCCAAGGCCAAAGCCTACCTCCACTGTGGAACACTTTTTTACTATACTTCAAGCCAGAGATCTCGCTTTGGTTTTATTTTAAAGTACACACCTAGCTGCGTGGGCTGATGGGATCAGATATTTGAATTAGACTTTTGTTGGTTTTTAGAGATCCAAAACTGTGAAATCCTTTCAGGTTTGCCAGAGATCCTGAGCTTTGTAAATAGAAAAATGCTTGTAACCAGTTGTTCGCAACCAGAACATAAATACGCTGTTTTCATAGCAGCAACAGTATTGTAGTCAGATGAACTTTCAATACATTTATTATCAATTATTGAACAACCAATATCGACCCAATCACCTTTCAAATCTTGTGCTATCGATGTCGCTTGGCTATCCTTGAAAAAACGATTATAAACATCAGATATATCGATATTTGTGTTTTTTATAATCGTTTTTGAATGGTGTTAATTGGCCGGATCAAAGTTTCTTTTGTTCGTGAAAATTCACTACTGGACCAACAGCCAGCCTCATAACCACGTAGCCATACATCAACCAATTCACATTCAGTAATAAATATACGAACACTAACATTATTATCGTTAGATGATGGCGGATCTAATTTTACTTCAACAGGTACATAGAATATTTGTCCTGGTTCTAGACCTGTCTATTGTATAGCATTACTATCGGTTAATTTCAATGCTGGTAATAAAATATCACCTGTGCTAATAGCCATTCCAACACCTCTTGGTAATGGTAAAGGCTCAGGTAATCGACGAAAACGGTTATTTTGTGTGATGTAGATGACGTTGAAGCAGGGGTGTAACCGGTATCAAAAATGCGATAACGGTACCGGTCACCGGTATACGAACCAAAGGCTTATCCACGTCACAATCAGCAAAATCGCTACAAACAGAGCAAAAATGATAGTGAAAATGACCGAGGGACCTTTCGTAAATTGAAGGTAGTTTGATGAAAAAAGGTCGTCGAGAGTTCCGCGACGTCAAGTTTTGTTCAGAAATGTTTGCTCTACACGAATAGGCTATTTACAAAAAGTATCCGTTGGAATCGCGGGACTCGATATTTTGCGATTTTATAAAACCTTGGTTTTCCACAAACCTGGTTTGCAGAAATTTCAATGGAATTTTTATGTGCATCCTGATTATAAACTCTTTCAGTTGTTTGTTTTCACATTTGTTCTAGCTATTATGGTTGAGGCGAAAAATTAAAAATAAAGGTGAACCTATAAGTTTGGCTTGTACTGTATGAGAACACCGGATTATAGAAGGAAAGATATTTAGGATTTAGGAACAAAGAGATCATAATGATGCACTCACTTGTGTCATTTCCTGAAGAGCACAAACTGGTCCAAGCCATCGGCAAACACACGGCCTGTGGCAAACAGCATGAGTTGATAATACACACAGTTGTGTTTGATGCACATCCGCCCGTAATGTTATCACACGGTACGAGGATGGAACACAGACTGGCGGGCGCAGTAACTGACATTACTGATTGTACGATAGTCATAGCAAGGTGTCGATGATGAACGACAACTATTGTTATTACTCGAGCTCATAATGCACGCTTGTACAGAACAGTTTGATGATGGTTGCCATGCCGAATGAGCTGAAGAAGAGAGTGCAAATTTGACAGTCAAATTATTTTCGGAACAGAAGTAATTAGGTGCTTCTGTGATTAGACCTACAAAATGTTTAATTAATTATGAGAGTGCAATGAAGAGGAAAGAATTAGCAAACCTTGGGCACAAATCACGAAGATGCTCAGATACAAAACTGATACGAGTCGCACTTCTTTTGATTAACAGTCGAAATAAGCATGCTAGTGTGCTTTTTCTGTTCTCTCAAAGAGTGAACAACAGCAACAGGCAAGAATGTATTTTAAACAAGTCATATTTTCAATCACTTATGACTTTCTTTTGGTATGTAACGTGATCTGTTCTTTCTTCTCTCTGAAAGAAAAAAAATTGTTTAAGCTGAAAAATGTTATAATAGAAATTTACACTCTCTTCTTCGGCTCATAAGATTTTTTTGCTACTTTGTTTCTGGTAGCCGGCCGAAAAGGATTAAAAAGGTCGTTATATATGTATATTATGTATCAAAATGTATCACACAACATGCACATACAAGGACTTTTTTCTTAAACTCAATATAAGAGAAGAACAAATTTGTTTACACTGTGTATATCGCATAATACGTTTATAAATTCTTTTTTCTTAGGTTGCTAATTTTTAGGACGTTATCGACAATGTTAATTTTCTTCATCTGGTTTCTAACAGCAGTAGAACTATAGTGTTTTCCTAAGTTTTTTCCTTTATTTTTAGTATGTTATATGGGTGCGCGATGTGGAGAAGTTCAAAGACACGTCATCATATGCAGTTTGACACACTGATTGAGAAAAACTTTGTTTCAAAACTCCAAAATTTAATTAGAAAAAACTACAAGCAAAACACCTGAAGCATGGGTTGTTCCGGTTTTCGGACATTTCTCAGTATTTCGCAATTTTTTCGAAGACAACGCTTTTTCGGGGTAAGAAGATGATATTCGGATTTGTTTCCTTCTGCTCTATTTGAATATATGCCTTAAACTCAAAAATAAAATAGTGCTTAAACTTCGAATATGCTGAACCTTCGCAAGCGAACTGGACTACAATTATTTCTTTCTTGAATTAATATTATAGCAACACATTTTCGATGACATGCACAGTGGGCAATTTTTGATAGGCACGTGGATATTTGGTTTTAAAAGACTCCAATACACTAAAGAATACTTTTCCCACAGGTTTTCGCATGTGCT